TATAAAATAAACTCCTGGGACTGAAGCTGGGTTCAACTCCTCAGAGTGACCCTCCTGGCCCCACTTCTCTGTAAGAGTTGTGGCATTGGTTATTGTCTCCGCCGCCCCGACAACCATTGCCACTGCAACAAATTAGAACTCTGAAACAGATGGAAATAGAAGTGCACACATAGTTGTGAGAGATTTCTTCCCTGACTGAAATTTGCAAGATTTACAAATACACCTTACAATTATAATTAAACCTAGGACTTAGGCTGGCAAATCTCCTTGCATCAAATAAAGCCTAAGAGACACAATGAAGATCCTGAAGCAGAATGGACTTACCTTGGTAGTCTAATGATGATTTTATATTGGGGAATTACATTACACTTTTATATTACAATATAAATAAACACAATTATGGTATGCCCAGAAACCTGGTGTAAGCCTATATTCGTAAATTTTGTGACATTACAATTACACTTCATTTGCTATAGACATTCAGTTAAGAAATTGAAATTGTGCCTGGATTTTGTTGTTGCTAAAATTAAAGTATTACCTATCACAATTTAAAAGAAAATGATAATATTAAAAACTACATTTTAATTAAAAAAATGTTTTTTATTTTTGCTGTTCTTTTAGAGTAGTGAGATTTAAAAATGTTGTAACTTAAAAATTACTTTCTGAACTCTGATATAAATTTTAGCAAAATTGTGTTCTTATCAATATGTTAGTTAATGATAAAAATAAGGGCATTATTAAACTGAAAATTCTGTCCACATTTTTAATTTTAAAAAAGACAGTGCATTTTATACTAGATTATTTATGCCAGTATATAAAAACTCCAATATATTGTAATTTTGCAATATATATTTGTAATTTATTAACAATATGTGAATAAATATTGCCATATATATTACAAAAAAAAAAAATTCTTCACTTGATTGTCCAAATCAAAGTTTTTATTATCTAATAGGTAGGGGACCATAACTTTCCAGATGAATATCAAAGATGTTTGATTAGCACAAAATCTCCATCCATCACAGTTTTTTGAATATCATTTTTGATTTTGGAGAACACAGTATAGCAAAATGCTTAATACTTAGTTTGTTCTCAATAAATATTGAATTAAAATGTCACCATGTCTCTGCTTTGCCACATTTTCTTGTTTAGATCCTTCTAACCAATATCCTTAATATTGCATTCTCTCCTTTCTATGCTGTGTCAATTAGCCACCTAATTGAATACTATTCTCTAATTTGCACTACTTGAAGGAATAAATTCTATTCTTTAAAGTAAAATCGTGATGCACCTCTTTTAACTATCCAACCTTCAGCGATCTCTCTAAATATACACACGTTTCACTCCCTTCAATTGCAAGTTACATTTCATATCGCCCTTCTTTCTCCAACTTGATAGCAAGCACCTTGAAAGTAGGGGCTTTTTTTTTTTTTTCACTGAACTTTAGATGAAGGTTTATAGAACAAACTAGCTTCTTACTAAACAGTTAGTACTTATATTATTTTACGGCATTGGTTAACAACCCCATGACATGTCAGTACTCTCCCTTCTCGACCTTGTGTTCCCTATTACTGGCTTTCCTATCCCCTCCTGCCTTCTAGTCCTTGCTCCTGGGCTGGCGTGTCCCTTTAATCTTGTTTTGTCTCATGGATCTCTCTAATCTTTGGCTAAAAGGTGAACCTCCAGAGTGACTTCATTACTAGGCTAACAGGGTGTCCAGGGGCCATACTCTTCGGTGTCTCCAGTCTCTGTCAGGCCAGTAAGTCTAGTCTTTTTTTGTTTTTTTTTTTTGAGTTAGAATTTT